CTGGCGAGTGCACGCACCCTATAACAAAAACCTCTCCAAAAATAAATAAATAAATAAAGTTTTCTGTTTTGTGTCTGTATGAAGGTCTGAGGAAATGCACATTTTTAAAGATTTGTTAGGCTGGGCTAAAGTAATCAGAAACAACTTTATGAACAATTTTATCAGACTTCTTTTAAACTATGTTGAAACTGCGGTTAGTGCTGATTAATACACTGAAGAATCTGACTGTGGCTTTTAAAGTGCTGATTGCTAGATTTGAGGCTGAAATGAAATCTTATCATGCTCCTGGTATATAATGCCTGGCTCGGTAGGTGATAGGTAACGACTGAGGAAATAAATTGATTTTAGCATCCTGCTGTGAAGTTATCCTAGAAAGAAGACAACTAAAGAAAATTATGCCTGCCTGCCTTTCTTCCTTCCTTTACCTTTCTTTCTTCTTTCCTTTCTTCCTCCCTCCTTCCCCTTCCTCCCTCTCCCCTCCCTTCTTTCTCTTCTCTTTCTTTCTTCCCTCCCCCCCTTCTTTCTTTTGAGATTTTTGGTATAGTGTGCATGTGCATGCTGGCGAGACAAAGAGACAGAAAACAAGAAATCAACCCCCGGGGTGACAGACATGCCACAGTCCCTTTTCCTCCATTCTCCTCTTGGGATTTTGATCACACACGCACACGTGCCCAGCATGAGTTTTAAGTCAAGCGACCTAGGACTTGAACTGTGATTGACTATGTGGGAGTCCAGTGATGGAACCATTAGGCCATCTGCTGGTTACACCTTTCTTTATTTTAAAAAGAAAGTCCTTGGGCGCCAACTCGTGACACAGTGGTTTAGGTGCTGGATCCCACATGGCCAACTGTGTGATTTGAGTCCCAGACCTGGTGGCTTGAAAAACATACTGGTCATGTATGCATGTGTACCCCAAATCCCAAGAGGAGAATGGAGAAGAGACTGTGGTGTGGCCATATCTCCTGGGGGGCTGGGGGGTGACTTCTTATTTTCTCTCTCAAAAACAAAAATAAAAAAAAGAAAAACAAAAAAGAAAGTTCTCAAATTCTTAATAATATAATATATATATCCTATATAATATATATGTCCATACAAATCTCAAAATGGGAATATTATTTGAAATGTAGTAAAAAATGGTCCAGAAATATGGGTGTGAATTTAGTGAAAATGTTGCTAAGTTTAGTAAAATTTTTAAAATTTTCATCAGTAAATTATCAGTAAGGAATAATTTGTGTTGAGTTTAAAGTTTCAAAGTTAAAACATTTGTAAGTTGTAGAGCAATAACATAAAAGAGATAATAACACTAAAGAGATAATAATATAAAATTATCTTTTGAAACCTCAGAGTTCAAGAGAGTAACACGAGGATAATTATTTTCAAGAACTTGATATGAAACCAAACAAAGGAATAGATTCATTTTAAAATATATTTTCTCAAACAAAGAGTCTACATATTACAACCTCTATTTCTAAAACTTTTAAAAATCATGGTTTAGAAATACGCACTTTACAATGCTGCTGTACATGCAGCAAATCCTCTTTTATTGTAACTATTGTTATAAAGCGTTCTTCGACACCTCTTTGTGATCACATCTCTTGAAAAAGGACTTAATCACTTGAATGTTGGATTTTCAGATGATCAAGTGCAAATATTTTATATTTCTATGTGTTAAAAATACATACATGTGTTTAGAAATATTTTAGTTCATACTTGGGGTAGCGAGGCCAAACCCATTAAGACAGTTATTTCTATGGGAACAAAAAACCTAAGTGACTTTAACGGTGCCAGTTTAATTTCCTGGGTGGCATACAACTCTACTTTTGGTCAAAGTTCATAAGCAGAACTGATAACTAAGATGTTCCCAAGTGAGTGACTGCCTTGCAATGAGTTTTATATTAAGTCATATATTCTCCTTCACCTGGTCACATACTATACTTCAAGCTATCTAGATAGCTGATGCCCATATGGGTAGAAAGGAGGCAATTTCCACTCTGTGAAATCTCATTTCATGCATCTTTGAGAAATTCAAATGTGCACGATAACAAAATATATCACAGAAATGAGATTCTTCTAGCAGTGAAATTAAAAGCACAGCCTAATCCCTCTGCAGGTTCACAGAGCAAGTGAACGTCAGATGCAAAGAAAGGCTTTGTGCTGGAATTGTCATACAATTTTCACTCAGAGACTATTTTCAGTTCCCTGGCTGTGAATTTTCTTTCCAGCGAAGACTTGAGCACACCCTCAGACTCTCTCTCGCTTTGCATTTTCACCTCTATGTTATTCACCTCTGTGTGATGCTAAAAAGTACAGAGAGACGAACCACACTGCGGGGCTTTCTTCTCTGATGTCAAGAATAAAAACTACAAGGACGGAGGCTGTTTATAAACAAGAACGGTAAACTTTCAAAGGGGCCCCTTGGCAAAGAAAACCATGCCTAGTTCATCTGAATTCCCCACTGGAACGTCTTAGGTTTCACAGGTTCATTAAAATGCATCAATAATACTCCAAGAATTTCTTGACAGTTTGGATTTCAAGATGTTTGAGTGCAGCCCTAGGATTTCAGCAAAATGCAACAGTTACATTTGAGACTGCAGGAATACGGAATTATGTAAGGCACTGCAGAGTATGTGAGACCAAATGTTTCTGAGAACACCACTCACAATTCAGCACATTGGAACGTACAGGGAGCCTCCTGCTCACCAACAAAGCGCACACGCATGCTGGGGGACGAGGGACAGAGGTGGCTGGCTCAGGCTTTCTCTCTGCCCTTGAAGGAGGAGGGGGGAAGAAGAGAGAGAGGGAAGGCAAAGTACCGTCTGGTCCAGGCACTGAAGGCAGTTATAAGGCTTGCAGCAGCACAGGCCCATCCCGGCAGGCGGCTGGTAAGGGGACCTCTTCATTCAACGTGTCAGCGAGTCATTCCTAAGCCGAGATACCGGTACACGCGAAAGGGGCGCGCCGCTGGGAGCTGTCACAACTTCCATGTGGTTCCCCCTCGGCTACCTCATTTCTCCTAACAACTTCAGGAATCCCGGAGTCAGAGGATTGAAAGGAGGAGGAGAGCTGGGCGGCAACCTTGGGATCCTGATGCGAGGAAGGGAGGGGACAGGCAGGAGGGAGGGTCACTTTGCCACTGGAATCCTCCGACTAAGGCAAATCAATAGTCGCATAACAACGGAGCATTTCCCAATGCCACCTCCCTGCGAGGACAGCCAGGCTGCTCTCAGCCGGCAGCAGCCGCTCCCAGCCTTCCCCGCGTGGGGATGCGCCTCTGCACCACGCAGACACGCCTGGAGAGACGTGCACACAAAAGGGGAGTGGGGCTTCCAGGAACACCCCGGCCTGACGGCGACCCCCAGACAGAGAGGCTGGGCTCTGCTCAGAGCACGGCTTTCTGTTTTGCTGAGCAGAAATATTTATAATAGATATGGCCTCTCCGCCCATGGACCTCCTCTCAGGGTATTGGTTGCCAGTGGGAATCACCAATTGCTCATTTTCAAATTTGTGGGCCATTAAACATATTTTATTATTATTATTTTTTGCCTTATTTAATGAATTCGTCATATGAGAAATACAATTTTAAAATCGCTTGCCTAGGCTGACATATATACAAACCATTCAAATGGTTTAATTCAAATTGGGGCTTGTGGCAGGTATGTCTCCTAAGCAGGCTGGCATAAAAGCCTTATGGGACTTGATCTTTCTAGGTAACCTGCACATTTCCAAACTGTTAACAGTTAACCAAAAATGAAGGGAGCAGGGAATAAAAGTTTTCTTCAAAAGAGATACAAATTTATGCAACCTTGAAAATAAAGATACAAATATTTACCAGAGTCATTGTCCATGTCTTGTTACCTCAAAGAAGAAATCCTGAAAGTTATTATCTGCACAAACATACAATCACATTCGGGGGCACTAAATTTGCCTAAGGATATAAGGAGTCAATAATTGTTAAAATTAGGTGATTTTACTCATTTAGCTGACATGTTTCCAAGCAGGTTTTAATGAAGTATTGGGTTGTAGTTTCCAACATGACTTTTCAGTCATGACATATTTCTCTGTGTTTTCTATGCAAAAATGTCTCATGATTTTTCTGATAATCTAATAGTATAGGTTATTTAGATTTGCTTGTAGAGAGGAAAAGAACATTTAGTGTCAAATAAGAACAGACTGGAATGTCTGCCTTAAACTTGAAAGAATAGTCTCAACTTTCACTTTTTTTCTTTTTTCTTTTTTTATTTTTTTGGCTGTTGTTATTTTTTCCCCAACTCTTTCTTTAAAGCTAACAAGTAAATTCACATAATCCTTTAAGAAGATAATTTGACCTTACCTCTCAACATTTTAAATGTACATATACTTTGAACTAACATTGCAACTTCTACCCTAGGATAATACTCTTATAAATATACAACAATGTATGCAGAAGGACAGTTAATTCAGCATCGTTTGCAACAGTTTAAGAGTGGGAAATGTCCTAGATTTCCAATATGTCCCCCACCATATAGAAAGGTGATACACTGTTGAGTGAGCAAGTAAACTTTTCTTAAAAAAAAAAAATGAAGCACATGTGTTATGTGCACACACATACATGTTTGGAATGAAGCTTTGGGAGGGTACACACTATTCACGTGACAGCAGCCAGTGCTTATGGAATGCAGAAAAAGAGTGAGGGAATAAATTCCCATGTTCTATGCTCTTGCTTGTTTTATTTTTATTGTTTCAGAATAAAGCATACATTGCCTGGGCTCAGTGATGTTGGGAGGTACAGAACAGCTTTGCTCTCACACAGGCTTAGGCTCCCTGGCAGGGAGCTTGGGTACCCCTCTCGTAAGGAGATAAACCATGGCTGGAATCTGTTCCTGAGACTTTTAAAATCCTGGAAGAAAAGCCGCTTCTTTTTTAAAAAATTTTTTTTCCATGAGCAAAAGAGACAGAGAAAGAGACAAAGTATCCCAATGGAGTCCCAAAGCCTGGAACCATCCTGGCTTCAGCCCGCCCAGGATTATGGGCATGCACATTCCCAGTATCCTCAGGGAGGCCTTCAAATGCAAACCCAGAACCTTCTCAGGTGGGTCAGCCTCACAAAATGTAGCATTTTCCTCTGAATCACCATCTGGCCACTTGGGAGGAAAACTGTGTTGGCAAGAAGTGGTGGCTTGGTATACTCATGTTCACAGCAGTCTTATCCACAATAGCCAAAAGTCAGAAGCAACAAAAATGTCCTCCAACAAATGAGTGGGTAAATAAATCTGGTATAGGATATGATGGAATATTATTCAGCCGTAAAAGGAAGGAAATTCTGACACACACTACAACATGGACGAACCTGGAAGACATGCAAAGTATTAAAGCCAGTCACAAAAGGACAACTAGTGTAGGGTTCAGCTTCTATGAGGAACCCAGAGTAGCCAAATTCAGAGAGCAAAAGTGGAACGTGGGTTGTCATAGGCTGGGGGAAGTGGGGAAGAAGGGTGTTCTATGGATACAGAGTGCTAGTTTTACGAGTTGAAAGAGCTCTGGAATCCACAATAATGAGAATATACTTAATACTACTGAAATACGCACTTAAAAATAGTTGAGATAATTATGTTTTTTGTTAAGTATTTTACCACAATTAAAAAAAGAAAAAAAAAGTGGTATCTTGAATTTACCTAGAGCTGAATTCAGCCCCTACACAACAGGTACGGATGAGTCCAGGTTGAACAAAGTGCCTTTTTTTTTTTTTTTTTGGG